AGAGATGGACTTAAGAGATGGACTTACGGGGCTAACCCTTCACAGCAAAAAGAGGGACCCCAATCCCATAAGAACAGGCTCAGAAGAGTGGTTCCAGAGAAAAAAAAAATCGTATATCACTTGAACCCTTACTCGCATTGGTCATCTATATTCTCACCCGGGAATGGTACGAAGACTGCCTGAAAAGGCGAAGGAATGGAACTAGATGGCTTGAAATAGTCCTCCTTGAAATGCTTGAAATACTCCTTTTCTCCTTGCCATTTGATAGAATTATTCCTCCTTTGCTCTCCTGAACTACGTCCATTCCTCAGGCTATAGTACGAGTACGCTCTCGGTAGACTTAACACCAACTTAATTTCGACTAAATTTTAATCATTCAAGTCGAATAAACATTCATCTAGGCCCTTGGCCTCCATCTACTTCCCTATGCAAAAGCTGTAATGATTGATTGCTAGCAGTAAGAATACAGTTAGCTCCTTTCTTCCCCGACCTGGGGCGAAAGAACGCAAAGAAGACACTAGGCTTCTTTCAGATCCCAATAAGCGGGGTAACTAAGTTCTACTCGTCAAGTAAGGCCTTACTTTTTTAGCGAAGATCAGAAACCGATTTTCAATGTCCAAGCGGGCCCAATGAGAAGGAGACCCACCCTACTCTCTCTCCTCATGTATTGTATGATGTGATACATATTTACTACATGACGGGGCCCTTCCGTTCAGAGGTAGCGAGGGGAAATCGAATTCTTCCCTTAAATTCCACGTATTAATTTGACGGTGAAGGCGGGTGGCCACAGCTTGCTTGCTGCTTTTTTGTAGTTAAATCCTCTCGCATTTGATCCAGGAATTTAAGGGAATATTCGCGATTTCACCTGTCGGCCCCCGAAGAATTTATCCCGAATGAGTGGGGAAAAGTCCATTCGTCTTCGGGATAAAGAGCTTTTGAGTTCGGCTATTATCCGATTTTTTTTGCAAAAATGGGATATAGCTAGCTCCATCAAAAGGCTTCTTTGCTGTATCGGGAATGCCTTTATTCTTCCGATGACTTGACACTGGTGCAGTCTCAGTTCCCGCTCTTCCAGCTCTAGTTTAGTTTTTTCTTAAATAAAGCGGTGGGTAGCGCGTCGAGATTTCATAACCGCAGTGAGAGTAGCCGTATTAGGGGTAATACCCTAAGTAAGGATACCAGTCCCCGAATCGGAACCGGAAGATAGCCAGACTCGGTTGTGAGGAGCAGCTGGTGGAGTAAGCACTTTTCTTGTTTACAGTATCCTTGTTAACGTAGACGCTGTTGGGACTGATTCCTTGACTGTTGTTTTCAAATACGCTCTTTGAAGGACAACTTCCCTTGTTAATGTACGAGCAGGGGGACTAGAAGAAAGATGCCTAAAATAAGATGCTATAATATCTATATATAGTATGAAAGGATCCCCAAATGCCCATATTAGCGAAATCTTACTCAATAGGAAGCCTTCTATGGCTTGTCTTTTTATTGGACTGATAGAGCTCGCTCTAATCTTTATTTAGAATAAAGACTCCACATACTTCATTCTTAATTGAAGTACTATCTTTGAATGGATGCACAGAATCCACAGCTATTGAATCCGATCTTTGAAAGAAGGAAGAGGCATATGCCAGAACTGCTTTAACGAATGAATCCCCTGTTAGGACAAAAAGCTGCTTGGGTCTCCCTTGGTTTGCTAGAATATACTCTTATATGGACAGAAATGCACCTTAGAAAGATAAGACTGTTGTTTCCTTTAGAGCTGAAATGCCGACATCTACTATTCTCTTAGGCCCCCACTATTATCTCGCAAAAACCAATGGTTGACTGTGGAGCAAGTGAAGTTAGGTATCTTTACCATGAGTGGAGGGTAATCTTGCACGTGTTCCGCGAACGACCCAGTGGTTTGCGAGACAGGAGTGAGCCTTTGAAAAATTTAATTGAAGGGAAGGTCGCCTTGTTTTTAAGAAATGCTGTCAGTGAAGAAAGTAAACTGTCATACCAGGCAAAGACTTAAGCCGCCGACCCCCGCCAACAAAGGAGAAGAAAGAAACCTTAAAAGGCAGAGACCCCTTAAGAATGTCATTCGATTCCCTTCTTCCGATTCCGAATCCGAAGAGATGCGACTAGAAGACAAAGGACGGGTAAATCAAGCCTTTTACTTTATAGTGAAGCTAGCCTATTAGGCGCTGTGTAAGAGCTCTATGCTATCTATGGAATAGCGGTCAGTGCTGCTTGATTGACTGCTTGAAAGTTTGAACCAAGACTTGAGAGTCTGATTCAATCCCAAACAGTTCCCATCTTTGGTGCGTTAATCGGAAGAGGGGGCAGGGCTTGAATGCCCATTTCCTTAAATGAATATATATATGGGAAATTCTTAAAGTAGTATCCGTTGAGTCATTCGCAGAAGCAGCTCTTTCAAAAGCACCCAAATCTGATGAAGGAAACTGCGGAATCAGCGCTTTCTTTCATTCGCTGAAAAACAGCACCGAGAATTAGAATAAAAAAATCCGATAGATCATACAACAGGCATCATTCTAAGAAGCGGAGCTAGGGCTGCTCTTTCCCTCTCAATCTGAACCGGATGAAGAGGAATTCTTCCCTGAAGCCGAGGCCAAACTAAGATATCAAGTTTATCCCGAAACAACGGATTCCTTACCCTCATAAGCCCCAAGTAACGAATCCGAATGCCTATCTCCTGCCGAATTCGTTTCATAAGACTTATTGGAATGGAAAGAAAGCAATTGGATAAGACTTATAGGCTGAATGAGCAGACGAATCGACCGAGGAAAATAAATGCTTACACACTCGAAATAACCAAACTCCACTTCTTTTTTTTTTTCTTTTATTGTCCTCTCAACAGGTCAGTCAATATCAATAGTTGGAAGAAGGAGAGTAGTCCTCCGGTCATCCCGTTAGTAGTTGAAAAATCCCAGTAGTGGTCCTTTGCCTAGCGGAGTCAGCCTTTAATGGACAATGATAGGCAGACCAAAGATTGCACATCGCAGTCTAAGCGTGCTTGCTTTGCGCACCGGCACAGCAGAATTAGAATCCGCTGGCTCAGATGAGGGCTCTTGGCTCACTTCTTGAGAAGGCTTATTTATTGTAAATAGAAATGAGAATTGTTGACCATATGATCTCTCAGGCTCAAAAAGAGGAGGAAACTTACAATTTAACACTTAGAGATTGAGCTCGTCAGTGATCTTTTCCATGGTGTCATGAGAAAGCAGCTTTGAACATGACATTCGTACCCCAGGAAAGTTTTGGCAGGCATTACTGTGATCTTGAAGCCCTTGCTAGGAGCTACTCGGTACGGCTCACTACTAAAGAAGGTTCAGGCATGCTTCGACTTAGCCCTGTGATCCGCTAATTCATCTCTGGATCTGGTATTCCGCAAAGGAGGTGGATAGGCTCTATGTATCGTACGTGGAATAATAAGAAGAAAATAAATAAATCGGAAGGAATAAGAAAATAACTCATAAGCGGATTGGCATGGGTGAGATGGCATATTACCTTTTTAGGCTCCTAGAGAGAAGATCCGGGATGGGACTCGGACGAGATAGCTCTTTTTTACTTCGATGAGATGGATCTGACTTCAGTCTTTGTTCAGATCAGGAGCTGACATGCTATTAAGGTAAGGTAGGCGCTTTGAAAATCCCTTCCTACAAAAAAGGAAAGGACAGACAGCAGGGAAGGGGATTCTTTGAAAGCCTACTACTCTTTTGCCCCTTAGCTAGCCCATTTAATTTAAATTTTTAAGAGGTGGTAGACATCCAATCCAGGGATAGGAATCGCCCGTTTCGGGTCGGTTCCTTGGCCGAGGGGTCCTGTCATCATGGGTAGTGGATGGGGTTGGATGAAGCAATATCCGGGATCCGTGGGCATCAATACATCGATTCTACCGCTGCTTTTGGTGCTTCTATCGCCATTTTATGACCATCGACGATGGGATCGGGGTCGTTTATCGAGCATTACAGTGATCTCTGGCGGCCATATAATGGCCTCATGAATAGATAGCATAACCCTTCATGCTATGAAGTAAAAGCGGAGATAAACCTTAATCTGATGGCTTGCACGGTAGTCATCATTTCACATGATTGTCATCGTTGCATTTTAAAATATAATATAATTTTTTATTTTTAAAGGCGGTCCTTTTCTTTCCCCCGACCGATGACTCGCTTGTTCAGTACTGCTAACTATTATAGTATAGGAGGATGCCGTCCCGTCCCCTCGGGACTACCAGTAGTTTCGGTTGTTGAATCTCGTGCAAGTTAGGTTGTGCTTGTATTGGCTGCAAGCGGAACGTAGGCGCTTTAGGTAGGTGTGTGTTGACCATGCACTCTCGCGTCATGTAATGTCGTATGTATGATAGAGGTGGTGTGGTGATTGATTGACCTGCAATGCTAATGGTATCCCCAGGTTCAACGAATGAATGAAGCTATGATCGTACCCGGATAGAAATGACGGTCTTCCTCTGATGTCTCCAAGCCGGCCATAATAGAATAGATAGGCAAAGCAGCCAGCAGCAGTTTTAGCCTATCGATAGATAGTAGGTTGCTTCCAAGCTCAAACCATTTGAAACTAAATTGCTACTGTCTTATTTTTATTGATAGAATGGTCTTCTCCGCCCCTGTCAAATAAAGTAGAGGGAGAGAACTGGAAGAGAGAAGGAAAAAGAGCAAAGGATTTACAAGTCTAACATCTGGGAGAGGAATGCCTTAGTTATCGTGCACGTTGACTGCCTTCGAGAAAAATAGAACCCAAGCGGTCTAAGCCCCGGGACGGACCCCAACCGAAAGAAAGGCTAGCGCCTTTCCCTCTATCTGATAACGGTCAAGCGAGATGAGAAGAAAGCAAGGCTCGGCCTGTGTGTGCAAGTGCCGAGAGTCTTTCTATGAAGAGATAGCAAGTTTTGGGAGAAAAAACTTTGACACCACAAGGGATAAGAGCTGATTGATCTTGATTATATAAATATATAGAGGAAGTTTCCGCTTGGAAATCAACGTCTAAGACAGCGTAAACGCATTGCGCAAATAGAGCAGAGCTTACCGTCTTTTTCTATTAGAGTCGCGAGCTTGGCTTGTTGTAGTCGGTCCGTGAAGAGAGAACTTGCTGCTTACTTGCTATACGCCACGCGTTCTTGCACGGCTCGTTCTCGAGCCCTGCTTCTCCCGTCCCCCTCTCCTTTTTACTTTATCGTCCAAACAAAGGCCGTATGGAGTATAGCCAAGTGGTAAGGCATCGGTTTTTGGTACCGGCATGCAAAGGTTCGAATCCTTTTACTCCAGATTATGAACACCCGATCGGATCTGTCAAGAACGAGCTGACGACTACAGGGGAAGCGCCTGATTGCAGTCCCTGAGCCCAGCCCCCGGAGCCGGAGCCGGAGGGGAGGAATGCATGGTTCCCTGGCGCTTCATGGGACGGGCGTTCGCAGTCCCCCTCCCTCTAATCTAACCCTCCCCCGCTCCCCATACGAATTTGAACTACGATCCCCTGGAGCAAAAGGCTGTGGATACACTTTTAATGCTGTCACCGAAAGTGTAAAAAACTAAATGTAAGACATAAATATCCCTGCCGGAAAACAGGACATATTCAAAAATAGTCGAGCAGGTCATTCATTGGGGATCCGGCGGATCTACGTTATGTGAGATTTTTTTCTGATATTACGGAGTATGGCTTTGCCAGTAATTACTTTCACGAGGCATTAACCTCTATTCTATTGGGGGCCGGGGGTTGGTGGATAAAGAAAGATGGACAGTAAGGATTGCGTAATATAAATTTTTCGGCCTCGCTTAAGGTTCCTATCGATTCTCCCCGGATTTGAGGATCACCTTTGACCTGCCCGACATGCTGTTGACTTGGAGATTAATTCTTCGGCCGTACCTTCTGCGGTCGTTACGCTTGGTCGGTCATGCTGGGACCAAAGAAAAGTAGAAGCCTCAACCGTGTCGAAGGCATTATAACTACAGTAGCATTAAGACCTCAAAAATCAACATCTACATCCCGTCGCTACCCTTTCAGCCCTTTAAATGTTCATCTTCCCGCGTGAGGGTGATCAGCGTTCTCGTTCACGAAGCCAACCGAGTTGCTCATGGGAAGGAGCATGTGAGGGAGAAGGACCAAACTTCGTCTCTTCGAACGGAGCCCAGGTTTCCTTTTTGATACTATGTAAAACCTCCTCATCAACAGACGTTTCCCGAATAACCATTCATTTCATGAAAAACCTGCGCTTGTTAGCAGCTGAATCACTCTCTCCTCTCGTAGTGGGCCTCTTTTCTTTCCCTTCCCCCGCTGGCATGAGGAAAGGGTCCATTCCACTAGCTCTTCTTCTTGATTAAAGAGAGGGGTGCGCTTTCCCTTTGAATGAGTAGATCTTCCAGCCCCCGTGCCTACCTTTACTCAATGCTCCTGAAGTCCGAAAAGGAGACTGTGAGTGGACAGGGGGCAGGGAAGTTCAGTTACAGAAATGGTAGTCGTGGACTGGTACCGCATGCCTACTTTTGGTAATCCTTATTGTGATCCCTCACTCTGGGCTAAGATAGTCTCTTAAGTGCTAGCGTGACGGGAGAGCAAATAGCAATGAACCTTATCTACAGTATTAGTTCCCTCCTACCAAGAACTAAACAAGTTCTCTATGCGGGGAAAAGGGTACCGATAGGCGATTGACGCATCTGAGCAGGCAGGGAAGACTTAGTGCTTGGAATATAAATGCTATGAGGCTTGGGGCGAGAGAGCAGGTCTAGGAGGCCCAGATATTGCATCATGTGAAAGCAGCGAAAAGACCCATAAGAGCTGTAAACAAGTGAGATAGGCACGAAAGGGGGGCATTCTGGGGATGTCTCTTTCATCAGCCAGCACCTTCAACAGCCAGTAGGAAAGATGCCGACACGGATTCGATTCAAGATTCAAGATAGGGTACGCCCGATGACCAGGCAGGGCGGCACAGCCCCCAACCAAGGGGGCTAGCAGCTCTTTTATCCGCTGCTGTCTCTGCTCTGACTGACGAAGGAAGATGTGACCGACTGCATTAGCACTTGTTGAATTGGTCTTCTTTGAGTGCAATAAATTCGAAGTAGTTCAAATAGCCCTGATCGACGATGCGCGCGTCAGTCCCTTCCCTCTCTCTTGGCCGGCCTATTCTTGTCCAGTAACCATTCTTTCGTTAAGAGTTCCGCGCTTTCCAAGTGGTAAGGCATCGTATAGTAGAAAACATAAATCGAGGCATAGAATATAATAAAAGGCGGCTAGGACAGAGAGGCTGTACGTATAGAGAAGGAAAGTCTATTTTTCCCAGAGTCTAGCTAACTCTAACCCAAGATTAATCTGGAAGAGGTTCTTCTTCTTTAGTAGCAGATTCGGATTCTGTATAAGAAGGACAGTCTCAACCCTTGAGTACGAAAAGAAAGTAGGCTCTTCCTTTATTTAATTTATTATAAATACGCTATTCTTCCCATTCCCATCTCGGGAGAAAAAAAAAAAGAAGTACGGTCGACGACTATTCAATAGCTGGGGATCTTGCTAAAAATTAAACTCCTAACCTTCAATCATCTAACCGTGTAGTCTTTAAACTCCCTTTTGGCCATTGAAAGCTGTCCAATTGCAGCTTATTATGCGAACTCTTCTGCTGCAGCAGATTCAATTCATTCCGATCCTTTAGATCCGATGCAACAAGATCAGCTCTTTCTCTGGCTCCCTTACTTGAAACCTTTTAGTCGATCTAGTCAGTAAAAAAGTTTTCAACTCCGATCCTTTCAGCCCTAGTTTCGCTGTAAGCCAACGCCTTTAGTCGATCTGGTTGTTAGTCTCGTTCCTCTTTAGTCTAGCTGACAGCTTTTCCCTTGACTCGCCTCTATGCGCCTGCTTTCCGAAGTAAATACAAGATTCTCTCTTTCCTCTAAGTCGAGTTCCGTTCCCTCGTTTACTGCTTTCCGATAAAGATATGCCCCGGTATTCAATTCAATAAAGTAGGGATTTCTTCCCTTCCATGGCAAGTTTAGGCTTAGGAAGATTTGATCTTTGTTCCATCTAGTGAAGTAGATTCCAATTCCGGTGAAGAGAAGAGTTAAACTCCGATAGCTACAGGCCTTAGCCCCAAACTAAGAAGATATCCCAAACCCCTACCGCTACCGGTCAAGCTTATTTGATATGGAGCTTTCCCCGGATTCTCTTGAGGTCGGGGTTGAAGAATCTGGGTACTCAACAATGGGTTAAGCCTTTAGCTACGGCTGTTGGGGCAAGTCAGTCTTTAGCAGCCTAAACTAAAACTAAACAAACCTTAATGCCTCCAGGCAGGAGTCTTCCCCACCGAAGACTTTTTCTCGGACTCGGAATCGGAATCGGAAGGAGGGAAATTACATAAGAGGGGATTCCTACTCTCTTCTCTGGTATTGATGCCACCTCAAAAGTATATTATCAGAAGCTTTCCTCTCCGCCCCTACCCCCGCACAGGCTTTGTCGAGCTTCTTTCCTGGCTTGATGAAGTTAAGTTACTCGCAGCAACTCTTCGAACCTATACTAGCTCCTTAAACTCCTCTCCTTGAAAGACAGGATGAATCAGAAGAGCGACTTTCAGTCTTAGCCCTAGCGTGGGTGAGTGGTTTATTGAGCACAGGCCCTTCCACTCTGTCGATACCATTCCTTGTCACTTCGAGAATTTATTCAAAAAGTAGCTATGTCTCCCTACCCTAAAGGTAGCTGTGTCCCCCCCTCCTTTTTCCCAATTAGTCTAGTCGAGCAGCCTTCGCTCCAACACTGCTTAGGCGAGCTCTCCTATCTAAGGGAAAGTCTCTCTTCCACTCCTCCCCTAACCCTTTAGCCTCGCTTGTCCCCTCCAAACAAACCTTTCTTGTGATGAAAGAAAAGAGGTTGATGCACCCTCAGGTGTGGAAACTTTTAAGGCTTCGGTCGAATACCCTCCGTCCTACCCAGGAAAAACCTTCCTCTTCTTTCAGTTCTAGTCGCATCTTCGGACCTATTCCTTAAGGTCGGAGCTAGTCATTCCTACTAAAGGAATTCAACAACTAGTCCCCATTGTTAGCTTCGATTTATGCCCTTCGATCCTCATACCATACTGAGCTGCCTAGCTCCAAGACTTGTAGTGGAGCCTCTAAATTTTCCTAGCCTATGGGGAATACAAGGGGGAATCCTCACAGTCAGATAGCTATGAGTGAAAGAAGAAAGAGAGTTTCGAGTTTACCGTAGCTACTTCTTCCCCTAGCATGACTTTCCCGGTTGGGGAAGATAAAGAAGTTCCCCTCCAATCCAACACTTATTAGTCGAGTAGTAACCCCCTCTCCATCAAAGCACCTGCACTTCAGAGATTGATTGGTTGAACCAGGAGTCTCATCCCCCTATAAAATAAAATACCTAAGAGTTAGTTATTGTTATGACCAGCCGAAAACTGGTCCTCCAGATGCCTTCTAACCGTCCTTTTAGCCTATTCCCGCTTATGCTTACTTCATGGCTGATAAGCCTACAGACGCTTGACGCCCCGGAATAGCCTTGCTTTCACGTTCCCCCTCTTTCCTTAGATCAGGTTAGCGCTTATGCTGCTTTACGCAACTATATTCAATCCATTGAGTAGAGAGGGCAATGGAATCAGTCGTCATCCTTCGCTCTTGTGGGACTCGAATCCACTACATAGGCTTTTTTTTCCTTGTTCTACTACCGAGATGAACTAAAGAGCGTGAAGGTATTTAACCAAGCCAATGGAGCTTGCCTGGTCTTTCTCGCCTTTCACCGAGTCTGGGATCGATCCCATCTACCATTTCGACAGGAGATTAGATTAAACAAGTGCTTTTTCCTCCAACCTTGAGCAATTCGTGTGAACAGATTCAGGTGCGTAGCCTTTTTCCACTATGCCTATCGCCTTGAGCTGGCACTCCTAACCTAAACCATTTAACCGGCACTCCTCCCCTTTCCTTAAAAAACTACTTGCCACTTCCGACAACAGCTAAATCTATGGCACTTGCCTTGGCTTATTCCCTCGGGTACTCCCCCTTTTTTTAGAATAAAGTTCAAGCATCATCCTATTAAGTAAGGTCTTGGCGTGGCCGCTCTTTTAAGGTAAGCTTTCTTTCCCATCTCTCGTTTCAAGTTCGAATGCTTTTCTGCTTTCTTAACTGTACGAATACGAATAGGAAGCTTGGCAGCTCTGCCAAAAAGGTAGTGAAGATCTTAGCCTGAGAATAAAAGTGATTGTTAACCGGCTTCGCGAAATCCTTTACCTTTAGGCTTACTCGTGGCTAGGCACCTGCCTTCTCCTCGATCAACTATCTACCTCTGAAGAGAGAAGCCTTAATTAATAAATGTAGTTGCGTTCGTTCTCTTTGAAAGTAGATCTTAGGTCGATCAGGTTGCCGGCCCGCAGACCCCATTTCGGAGCCATGCCATGAAATGAAGGAGAGACCCGAACAGAGATCCATATTTCCCTTTCTTTCTCTTGTATTGCTTCTTTTGGTCTTCCTTTTCCACTTTCTAAGGAAACCGTAACGATAAACG